TATACCACACTGCTGTATATTCACTATAGAATTTCGATACTATATACAGTGATACCTCGGTTCACGAACGCTTCTGTTCACGAACAACTTGGTTCACGAACAGAAAAGTTCATAAAAATATGCTCCGGTTCACGAACTCCGCTTCGGTTCACGAACAGGAGCCGCGGCCATTTTAATGCTATTTCCAGGCTGTCACATGGTCGTGACTTCCTGTAGGAAGATCGTGGAGAGAAGAAGAGACACAGAAATAAGTACTGTGAGTACTGTGAAGACACGTTCAGTGACTTTTTGCTTTTTGGTGTGCTTTTTAGCACATACAGTACTGTACTGTACTACTGTACTGTACAATACTGTACTTACTGTATTGTACAGTTCACCCGTTTGAGTGCTTACTGAAGTCATCTCATGCAAGGTTAGTGTTCTCTCTTTATACATTACTATACTGTACAGTACTAATGTGTATTGTAATTTGTTTCATATTTTTGTGCTTCAAAACCAAAAAAAAGGTCAGAACGGATTAACCGGATTTACATTGAACCCTATGGAAAAATGTGCCTCGGTTCACGACCAATTCGGTTCGCGACCAGAGTCAGTTCACAAATTAAATTCGTGAACCGAGGTATCACTGTATTACCTTATACATTGTATTAAACATTACACTTTAATGCTATTATTATACAATATGCTATACACTATACCATTCACCGTCGCGTGAAAGGTACTAAGGGGAAGCAACGAAATATGTCAATGGGAGAGTGGTGGTGGGAAGCTTGCAGCGGAGCAAAGAATCCATTCCCTGCGGAGAATACAAGATATATAGTCAATGTCAGTGAGTTGAACGCGGTCTGAAAGTCACCGTAAACGTGGACACAATCAGTTAAGATCCGAAATGGTTAATTACGTCCTTCCAATGATTGCTAAGCTGGAATCCATCTTCTCGGTTGAAATTGTCTCTGTGTTTGTATATGTGGATCGCCTCATGAACGAATCTCTCATGGTAGCCAGATGGCTTGCAGAGAACCTCTGTCTTGGGGAAGTCAATATCATGTGAGCCCACTGAATTCTAACAGTGATTTGGCACGGCTGAGGTGTTAGTCCTACCGTGTTTCAAGTCTGCTTTATGTTCACGGATGCGGTCCGAGACATGTCGTTTGGTTTCTCCAATGTAACTGCTACCACAGAGGCAACTTAGTTTGTAGACGCCAGGGTACTGTATGTCTGGAACCACATCTTTTACAGATGGGACCAGATCACGGATTTTATGTACTGTGTTGAATCGGACCTGGATCTTGTGTTTAATCAGGATTTTGGAGATCTTTTTTGTGACCCCAGCAATATAGGGTAAGGTGATGGTCTTGAGAGGCTCCTCAACAGGATCCTTCTTGATGGTTGGAGTGATGGCTTTGCGGATTGTGTAGTCGGAGTAACGATTAGCCTTAAGAGCTTGGCGTACGTGTTTGAGTTCACTGGCAATGTGCTCCTGGTCGGAAATGCATTGGGCTCTATGGTATAGACTATAGAGTCTTGATGAGGGAATTATTCTGGGATGGATTGTGGTGGGAATCCGGTAAGCATCCGTATGGGTGGCTTTCCTGTAGACAGAGTGGCTCATTGAACCATAAGGTCTCCTTTTAATTAGGACATCCAAAAAAGGTAGCTTGCCATCTTTTTCGTCTTCCATGGTGAATCTGATGGCTGGGTGTATGGAATTGATGTGGTCGAGAAATTGGTCTAGAGCAGGCCGGCCATGTGGACAGATGACAAAAGTGTCATCTACGTACCTCTTCCATAAAGTCGGGCGTAGAGTGGCAGTCTGGATGGCATTAGTCTCAAATTTCTCCATGAAGACGTTGGCTACAACCAGAGATAGGGGGGAGCCTATTGGGGTGCCCTCAGTTTGCTTGTAGAAAGTTCCATTCCAGGTGAAGTATGTATTGGTTAAGCAGTGTCTCACCAGGGGTGGTACCCCAGCATTCAGTCCTTGATGAACCAAGTCTTCAATGATTGCGATGGTGTCAGGTACAGCAACTTTGGTGAATAAGGAAACCACATCAAAACTGACAAGCAGGTCGTCTGGGGACAGGGAAATCCCCTTGATTGTCGATACCAGGTCAGTAGAGTTTAGTACCGCAGAGGTGGTTTTTCCAGTGAAAGGCAGTAGGATTTCAGACAAAAAACGAGCCAGTTTGTATGTGGGGGAGTTGATCGTAGAGACAATGGGACGAAGAGGTGTATCTTCTTTATGTATCTTTGGCAAGCCGTATAATCTTGGTGGCCTGGCTGCAGAAGGTTTCAACGAGAACTGTTTGGTCTGATCAATTAATGTGGTTGAATAAGAAATGATTTGGTTGGTTTTAGAGACGAGGCTGTTGGTGGGGTCTTTTTATTTTTGTATAGCTGCCATCATTGAGTAGTTCTTGAATTTTGTTGTTGTATTCTATTTTGTTCATGATTACAGTGGCATTGCCTTTGTCGGCTGAGAGGATGACAATGTCATCCCTCTTTTTTAATTTAGCTAATTCAAAACACTCATCTTTGCTGATGTTGCTAGCTGCCATCTTAGCGTTTTTGAGGGTTTCAGAGATTTCAGATCTTGCTACGTCTGCAGCGATGTGACCTTGAGAGCTACATCTACTCTAGCAATTATATCATTAACTGGTATGTGTCTAGGTGTGATTGCAAAGTTTAGTCCTTTAGCTAAAACGGATTTCAGACCTTCAGAGATAGAACTGTTACTGCGATTAATTACGACTTTGTTAATGTCTAGCTTTTCAATGTGTGGGTCCGGTCTCTTGTTTGAGAGGCAGTTGAATTTGTAAATCAAGTTGTCCTTACATTTCGTCGACATAGCGGCAGCTGAAGAGGCAGTCATTTTGTCTACATGTTCCCAATCCGATGTGGACATTGTTGCACTCAAAGATAAGTGTGATTTGTAGAGTGTCTTGTCTAACTGATCTAGATCGGTGTGCGTAAGTCTGATTTTCTCTGAGATAAGAGCTAAGCTTGTTCTAGACAGAATTCGTTTAGCATTAGAAGAAGTTACAGCAGCAGATGTTAGTGTAAATGCGTTTGGTATTACCTTAGAGTCGCGGCATCTCTTCAGAAAGGTGAGAGACTCGATTAGCTGAGCCTTCTTATCACGGAGCTTGTTGAAGGATCTCAAAGTTATGTGGAATCCCTCCCCGTAGAGGCGGTTAAATTTCGATTTCAAGCTTTCGTGACTGCAGGGATTCATCTTCTTGGTTCTTTCGGTAAAGTCACGTAGAAGGGAAGTAATAAAATAATAAAAATCAAACATAATAAAATTATTATCACGACGTTTCGGCCACAACACAAGCAGCCGTCCTCAGGTGAAGACCAGGTCTGTCGAGGCGACAGCGTCTAAAAGAAAACACCACCACGCTTGGAGCGTCTATTTAAGCTGGGTTGGAAGGGGGGGGGAAACCCAGCTTAAATAGACGCTCCAAGCGTGGTGGTGTCTGTAAAAGATGTGGTTCCAGACATACAGTACCCTGGCGTCTACAAACTAAGTTTCCTCTGTGGTAGCAGTTACATTGGAGAAACCAAACGACATGTCTCGGACTGCATCCGTGAACATAAAGCAGACTTGAAACACGGTAGGACTAACACCTCGGCCGTGGCAGATCACTGTTACAATTCAGTGGGCTCACATGATATTGACTTCTCCAAGACAGAGGTTCTCTGCAAGCCATCTGGCTACCATGAGAAATTCGTTCATGAGGCGATCCACATATACAAACACAGAGACAATTTCAACCGAGAAGATGGATTCCGGCTTAGCAATCATTGGAAGGACGTAATTAACCATTTCGGATCTTAACTGATTGTGTCCACGTTTGCGGTGACTTTCAGACCGCGTTCAACTCACTGCAGGGAATTGATTCTTTGCTCTGCTGCAAGCTTCCAACCACCACTCTCCCATTGACATTTTTCATTGCTTCCTCTTAGTACCTTTCACGTGACGGTCAATGGTATAGTGCATAGCATATTGTATAATAATTAATAGTATTAAAGTGTAATGTTTAATACGATGTATAAGGTAATATATAGCATTAAAATTGTATAGTGAATATACAGCAGTGTGGTATACAGTTGGGTGGGTAGAATAATACATAGTGTAATATTACACTATGTATTATTCTAAGACATAGGGTAGTGTATAGTAATACAGTATACAATTTAATGCTATGTAGTTTATACTTTAGCTTTTTACGTTGTTGTTTAGTTACTGCAGCTACATACTATTAACATTCTATCCCTTTATTAATGCTACCCCTATTTCCTCCCTATGTAGTTTATACTTTAGCTTTTTACGTTGTTGTTTAGTTACTGCAGCTACATACTATTAACATTCCTTCCCTTTATTAATGCTACCCCTATCCCCTCCCTTTGATGCTGCTAATCCTGCATAATGCATGGGCATAATATGACTTTGAAAACCCCCCGCCCACCTCCTACGCATTTCACAAGTAGCACTTATCGCATTCCTGCATTTCCCATAAATATGCTAAATTCCTCTTAATATGCAGATTCCTTTGTCAATGCGCATTTTCACCCCCTTCCAACCCAGCTTAAATAAACGCTCCAAGCGTGGTGGTGTTTTCTTTTAGACGCTGTCGTCTCGACAGACCTGGTCTTCACCTGAGGACGGCTGCTTGTGTTGTGGCCGGAACGTCGTGATAATTATTTTATTATGATTGATTTTTATTATTTTATTACTTCCCTTCTACGTGACTTTACCGAAAGAACCAAGAAGATGAATCCCTGCAGTCACGAAAGCTTTAAATCGAAATATAGACGTGTAAGTCACGTGTGACTGTATATGCATTCCTCTGTGCCTCGATACTGATGTGTAGATGGTGTGGATTTTTTTTTTCTGTCTGCGGCTGTTGCTTCTTCTGCAGAATTGGTCTGATGGAGCAAAGACACTCGGCGCAGCTCGGTACGACAAGAAAACAATGCGATCGGTGTGCATACAGCACGAATTCTACTGCAAATTTGACACGGCACCAGAGAACTCACACAGGAGAGAAACCTTTTAAGTGCAGTGTGTGTGGGAAGGCGTTTACACAATCATCTTATCTTGTAATACACCAGAGAACACACACGGGAGAGAAACCCTACAAGTGCAGTGTGTGTGGGAAGGCGTTTGCACAGTCATCTTCTCTTGTAGGCCACCAGAGAACACACACGGGAGAGAAAACCTTCAAGTGCAGTGTGTGTGGGCAGGCGTTTGCACAGTCATCTGGTCTTGTAGAACACCAGAGAACACACACGGGAGAGAAACGCTTCAAGTGCAGCGTGTGTGGGAAGGCATTTTTATATCAATCTGTTCTTATAACACACCAGAGAACACACACGGGAGAGAAACCCTTCAAGTGCAGTGTGTGTGGGAAGGCGTTTGGACAGTCACCACATCTTCAAAGACACCTGAGGACACACACGGGAGATAAACCCTTCAAGTGCAGTGTGTGTGGGAAGGCGTTTTCAGATCCATATGGTCTTGTAACACACAAGAGAACACACACGGGAGAGAAACCCTTCAGGTGCAGTGTGTGTGGGAAGGCGTTTACATGTTCATCAAATCTTTATGTACACCAGAGAAAACACAAGCATCAGAAGATCCACCAGGAGCAGAGTCTGAAATCAACTTGTGAAAGTCAAAGTTCCGCAATGAGCCCATCCCTCATGAAACAAGAACCGGAAGAAAATCCCAGCTTGGACACTTTTATAGGTAATGAGGTGAAATATGAAGAGGTGAAATGTGAAGAAGTGATGATGAAGAGCGAAGAAGTGAAGGTAAAATATGAAGATGAAGATTCAACTCCAAAATCGGACCTTCACATCGATGCAGGCAACGTGAAGCAGGAGGAGAATTTTGACTGTGAGGCAGAGCGAGGAAACTCCCAGCAGTTTGTGGAAGTGGAGGTATGGGTGGACTTCCTCTGAGACAGTACAAAGTCGAATGGAGACCCGGTAGATGTGTAAGCCTGAAACGATGTCGCTCCAATAGATGCACCTTTGTCACAGGCCTTTAATGACAATAATGTGAAGTTAAACACTCGGTTCCTAGGTCAACCTGCAGGGTAAGAGCGGCCAGTCTTTGTGGACCTGTGTGTGGGGTAGATCTCTAACTAGGAGTTAGAGCCAATAAGCTCCCAAGCATTCACTATGTTAGCATAATTGCATTTATATGGTGCTTGCTTAATCGCCTCTGGCAACTCTGAGTTTTGCATCGTATCTCGTCTCAAACACTCGAAGAGCATCCCAAGTGGCAGCTGCCCCTGTGTGGCACAAGGTGGTGGCCCTGCACCGGCCTGCATGTGGACAAGAGCCTGTCAATATGGGCGATGGTTGATGTGGCATCTCAGTTGTGGAGTTTGTAGGTAATGTTTAGAATTTGCTCAATTTTGATCCAGACGCCAGCATGCAATGGCCGACTCGTTTTGAATGGTGTATTAGTATGTTGTACATACACTGTTAAGCAGACGGTGCGTATTTTTTTAAATTAGCTTCTTAATGCGATGTAACCTAATGCAGTATATTTCAGTGCAGTCTTTAAATTTTGTTAATATGCCTGTCACTAATTTTTAATGAATACTTGTCTGATTGTGTGTGTACATGTACCATTTTGTCTATAAGGGTCAAACATTGAATAAGTCATGTTAGGACACTGTGTGTTTTGGAAGTAACCTGTACAGATAACTCAGGTGAGACTCATTGTTCTTGTGATATAGGTCAAAGGGTACTTTTGTGTTTTCAGGAAGCATTCTCCCTCTGGAGCAACTCATTGTCTTTGAAATAGGGAGCACACTCGGATCATGTATCAGTTACAAGGCATACCACTTAAAAGTTACACGTAGAGGAGATACATTCTCTACAACTTGAATTATAATTTGGTATTACGTATTGACACAAATTTTGTCTAACTAGGGCTAGAAATGCTCCTTACTGATTTACGTCTGGATGTTTGAAGCTATCGGTTGAAGCAAGCCCGGCTGCTCTTGAGACACTGTGCACCAATAAGGGTCCACAGGTGGCTTGCACTGAATCATTGACGCACTCCCAGAAGTCTGTGCTTGTTATAGTTTATGTAAAACATTCCTTTGTTTTGTGGAGAGATCGATAAATGAAAGATGTCGTGTCTGCTGATCTGCTTCATAGCAAGGAGGTAATTTTAAGAGCACATTTGGAATGCATTTTTGGTACTGTTGTATACTAACCCTTCTTCCAAAATTGAGATTAATAATATTTGATGATATTTTTATATATTATCTTTTTACTTGTTTTTTTTTAATGAATGAAACACACCAAAAGCGCAGCAAACTGCAAAACACCAGGTGTTGTTAAGTAATGAACTGGAGGAGGGCTAGGATGGCAGAATTTGCAACCTTGCTTCAAGGAAAGATAAGGCCTGATGAACGGGCACATGTCACCCGTGCAGGCGGCAGAGACAGTGGGAGTGTCAGCCAGACATAGTTAAGGCAAAAAGCCCAACCATCCTGCATGGTTTTAAAGTAACGTCAAAATTCGAAATTCAACAACAGAGTAGGCTAAAGTATCGATCCTCGCGCTCGCTCAAATTGGAGACCAGGCTGCGAGCTACATCAATGAACCATTGCCCATTTGCTAATCCAATACTGAATGTTAATATTACTGAAGTCAAAACGAATTCTATGACCTCAGCACATGGGCAAATAATAGGGCAGTGTCGACTCAAAGGCAATGGAAGAAAGCAGAGGCGCCTTTGTCTAAATCACAACCACAGAAAGCCAGGAATCATCACTGATTGTGTGTTTAGGGATTCCGAGCTAGTTGGAACACGTGCACAGGGGAGGGAGCTGATTTAAACAACCCTGCACGTCTGAACGTGAGGGGGCCTTTGACCTGAAATTAAGAATAACACTCCCAGAGCAGAAGGTTGGATGGCCACAGTGGGACGAGAATAAGAGTGGTGTATATCTCTCAAGGAGGCAGACCCAGCTGAACAACAAGGCTGCGGGGGTCACCAGAAGTTCGCGTTCGCCTAGTTAAGACAAAAAGCTCAATTATTCTGTATTGCTATTAAAGTAACGTTAAAGTCGGAATTTAACAACAGGGTAGGCTAAAGTTATTGATATTCACACCCACTCCAATTAAACCAGGCCACAAGTTACGCCTACTGAACCATCACCACCATTAAGTCAATATGAAATGTTATTTCCATACTTTAATACTTTCTATACAACTCGACCCGAAGCATATGACAATCAGAACCTTCCTAAGTTAAAATTGAATCGCACCCAGACAGGAGCGAATAGTCGATATAAGGTTGAAGAGGGAAGGAAATTAAGAGCACGGCGAACTGCAAACGTAAGCAAAAAGCCGGGAACGACCAGCCCAGCAACAGCGAGTCGGGCTTCGACAGACCATAAAAGTAGAATAATAACTCCCGGGGTCAGGGGACACAAGAAGAAGCAGGCAGACAAAAACCAGAACTGACTCCAAGGTTCAACCGCCCTCACCTACAAGGAGTGACGGAAATTAATGAGGCCTTGAGTTAACGGCGTCAGCTGGACAGCAACAACCACGGCGAGCAGAGATAGGGTGGGGCAAAGACTGCGGGGCTATGGAATGCAACTTCGTGTCAGTAAAGCCCTGACAAACAAGTTAAGTTAAAGACATCACAATACATAATATCGTACATAACATCAATGTTAACGCTATTCACCGTAAACTATATTCCGCTTATATAACCATGCAGACACCAAGGAATACGAATTCCTAGGATCAAGAAACTTACCCCTTAACCTAAGATATCGGAAATAAATTAATAGTAATAAGCATATGCATGAAAAGACAAAAGTAAAACTTATGGAAAAGCCAGGATAACGGGATGAATCACCACCAGGTCGAATATAAATACATAATAAAAAAAACGATGTTAAACCCAGGGTCGGAGAGAAAGGGAGATCCCGGCCGTCTTTGTATCCCCGCAGCGCGGGATAGGAGTGTGTATACGCTCGGGGAAACACCTCCACTTGAGTCAAGCACCACGATGGGAAACGACAGACCTTAGGTTACATACAGAATCATAACTGTGAAATAGTAAGGGACAAATGTTAACTTAAAACTTCTTAACCATTTCTTTGTGCGCCGGGTCGGAGAGAGTGTTGCCCCTCCCTCCAGGTTGTGCAACACGAACAAAGACGCCTATGAGACGATTTGTAACGTCTGTGTTTTGGGTTCATGAAGAAGGCCAGACAAGAGATAATATTGCACCCAGACAGAGAGACGACTTCGAGGCAATTTGTAACATCTGATTGTTTGCTCGTGGGTTTTATGGAGGGAGGGTGACAACGGAATATACCGTGAGTGATGCACACAAGGACATACGGACGTACGGACACACACATGGACACACCTGCCTACGGACAGATCCTGACACAGCAAAAATCGAAAGAAGCCCCGCCTTGTGGGCGGGATCCAGGGGGATTTTTCGGCATAAAGGAAAGGATCCTGAGCATTGGAAACCAGTGCGACCAGCGGGTCGGCTCACGTGGGGAGTGCGACCAGCGGGTCGACTCAGGAGTGCGACCAGCGGGTCGACTCAGGAGCGAGCCCGACCGGGAGGGTCGGCTCAGGAGCGAGTGCGACCAGCGGGTCGGCTCGACTCATCTTCAGCTCGTCTGGGACTTTGCCGAGTTCGATCGGCTTACCAAAGCCGGCTCTCGGGGCGACTCAAGCGGCTCCCCATCTCCTCTGCAGGCGGGCAAGACCCGCTTGACAGCTCAACTCGGCCTGCGTGGGTCAACCTCTGCCGAGTCGGAGGTCTCTGCTGCCGCCGGAGTGGTGAGGGTCGCGGTTTGGCGACGAGGCTCCGTGCACACCCTGGTCGACGACCCAACACTGCACGCTGCGAGCGAGTTGTGGGCGCCACCTACCGACCGAGTTCCGAACTGCGACAGCGTATCAACGGGCATCCGAACCAGTTCATCACGGTGACAGGGGAGCGACTGATACGTATGACGCGCACCGCCCCCTCACCACACGACCACCAGGCGTCTGTTTGACATAAAGAATCGACTCCGAACACCGACTATTCAAGACAACTCTTACCACTCAAACACACTCGAACCCATAAGCCATCCGTGGCTGGGAAGGCATCACAACGAGACCGAGTGATGGCCATCCGTCGTTTATAAAAGTATTCGTAATTTTTATCTTTAATATTTAGTGGGCTGTACTCTTAATCGCATAAATTCCCAACAGATCCATCAATACGAACTGATTCTTGGCACCTCCTTCCGCCGAGCCACGCTCACATGGGGAGTGGTGGCCCACCGGATCCTTATCAGGTGATCTGGTCCCCAATTAGTAAACTTGGTATAAGATAACGATCTTCGGAAAAGGAGCACCGTTGCAGGCCCTTACTCCGAGCCGTTCTGTTGTCAGATAACCTGCCGATGTATCTGTTGAGATTGATGCCTTTAAGAATAATAACTGTTTTTGATTGTGTTTTTTTTATCGCCGTATAATCTTTCAAGTATCTTTCAGTCATAATCGCCGCACGTACTCGCATCCTCTACAGAATATTCAACTGTCCCGTGACCCAAGGTGCTAACAACGTGATAAGGGTTGCGTATGATCAATAAGGAGTGCGGTACTGCGTGAACAATATTGAGTATAATCATTCATTAACGTTAAGGTTTTCTTAGCATAGTATTTGCATATTTTAACGACTCTCTCTCTCACTAACAACCATCGCGTTATGCGGGATCCATGTGCCGTTGTCAAAGTGAAATCAGACAATCGTTGATGATACTGTATTGATGCCGTGTTGACGTTCCGGGATTGAGAGTTCGCATACGATATCATAGTTAAGGTTGAATTAGTAATAAATTGATCAATACAGAAGTGGTTGTGTGATTCTTTCCTGAAATCTATGCATAAGATCTGCTTCTGCGTTGAGATCTGAACTTGGTGACCTTAATAAACACACTAACACATACTCAGTAAATGTTAAAGCGATAACGGGGTGAATCGGGGACCTAAAATATAACCACAAATACACACTCTGGGAATGTTAAAGCGAGAATGAGACGAACCTAGACAACGATGCCGAGTTAATCTAAGTCAATCTTGCATACTTACACCACACCTGCATAACTGCATACGATTAATTGCCTTATTCCGATCGATAACCCACCCTCATCACCGAGGCGGGGTCTGGTTATCATAACGACTTGCATTATCATAATTATACCCACTCGCATAATTAATACGATTACCTCTCGAATTGGCATAATTAAAATGTGCATAATTACATAAATTAACATTTCCGGATAATTACACATTTGGCCAAATTTCATTTAATTATTATTATTTTCACTGAATATTCATAACCCACATATACAACATAATAATTTCACCCACGCACGCATACAACATAACAAATTTTGATAACCAACATATACAACAGTACAGATTTGTATTTGGTTACAAGGCTGAGCACATCTAGTAGATACATTCTGCACAACAACACTCATTAGAATTTTGCATGACGTCGTATATGTTGGCGAACTAGGACAAGAAATGGTCCTTGCCAATTAACGTCTGGATTTTGACAACCATGGGTTGAAGCAAGCCTGACCGCCTGCGGTGCCCCTCACAACCATTTACTGCCTTGGGCCAGGAAAGTCACGAAGAAAATTGCACACGAAAGACGCATCCACGCAAGCACCCAATGCTCCGTTTTGAAGTTTTAAATTGAAACAACTTTGAATTGTATTATGTTTTAAATTGTGTTTCTTCAATAAAAGCTTATATCATTTTACATCTGAAAGACTTCATTGAAAACGACATTTCGTGTGAATTTTCTCTAGTCGTTAAGTAGATGGCCTTGCCGGGGATTCGGTTTGATGCGGACTTTCTCCTGGTTGGGATCGCGGGATTGAGATGAGGTGACACAGAGCTGGCCGTGCCAGAAGACTGCCGTCTGCAGATCAATTCCAACGCGATCGACCGTCTGTCTCTGTGCCTCCGTCGTTCATGCAGGGGGCGCGTAGGTTTACAGCGTCCCCTGCATGAAAACGATGGAAAGTGCAGGGTTCATCACAGATAGATTAAGTGCGCTCATATAAGAGTACTAGTGGGAAGTACCTGGCGTTGCCCGGCCGAAAGACACACACATGGACTTAGACACACAAACATCGACCCACACACACAAACACATCGACTCGCACACACAGACATTCGCTTTAGATACACACACATGGAGTTACACAAATCGACGTACACACCTACAGCGACTCGAACACACATCGATTTACACACACACATGGACTCGCATACAAATGTTGAGGTGCAAATGACGATGCAGAGGCAGGTCTTCAGTTAAGGGCTTGCGCCAGTTATTTATTAAGCATTTCGGATAACTTCCCCAGGGGTAGGGGTCCTTCACTAGGTTTCTTCACACGAACCTTCACTCTGTGAAGAGAGCTCCAGGGCTCTCTCCGTCGAGTCGGATCGGGGGTTCAGCCAACACCGACCGGGGAGAGCAGCACCTTCTTCTATCACTGCGGCTGGCTTCTCTCCAGACTCCCTAAGCTCTACCGCTGGCTGGCTATTCAACCGCTCTCTATCCCGGGCTCCCAAAGTGACCCTACTTTCGTCACGGGGTCCTCCTTAAGTACCTAGAGGAGACATGACGTCATCGCCTCGCCCAGCAAGCATAACGTCACATCCCATGACGTCATCGTACTGGACAGCGAGCATGACGTCACACCCCCATATTACTCCTCTACACATAGACACACACACATTGGCCTACACACACATACGGACTCACACAGACATGGACTTTAGATATACACATATGGAGTTACACATATCGATTCACACAAACACATTGGCTTACACAAACATGGACTAACACACACATGGACTAACACACATACACATCGACGTACATACACACATCAACTGACACACATAGACAAACACACACAGCGACTGACACACATCGACTCACACATCGACTTACACAGCAATCCCCGATGATGCCACAGCTAGAGCAATTCTCTCTCTCTGGCGAGCCTTTGCGAGGAGCAGTTTTAAAACCAAGGTCTTCCCAGTACTGGCAGGTGCATCAAGGATACAAATGACTCGATTTGTAGTCTCAATGTCTTCCAAGATTTCCGTGTATGCTTCTATTTGTGCATCCATCAGCTTTGGTTAATTTTCCTAAATAAATGTAAGAAGCTGTAAAGCATAATATCATATTTAACGTAGGATCTCTTGAGCAAGGGCATGCAGGTTGTCCCTGTAGGGTGTTGGTGGTCCCATAGACGTGTAGTATTTTCCAGCAATGGAGTGCAGTTTGATGGTTAGGTTATTTAGCGAGTGTCCATGATGATTAGGTTATTTAGCGAGTGTCCATGATGGTTAGGTTATTTAGCGAGTGTCCATGTTGGTTAGGTTATTTAGCGAGTGTTCATGATGGTTAGGTTATTTAGCGAGTGTCCATGATGGTTAGGTCATTTAGCGAGTGCCCATGTTGGTTAGGTTATTTAGCGAGTGTCCATGATGGTTAGGTCATTTAGCGAGTGTCCATGTTGGTTAGGTTATTTAGCGAGTGTCCATGTTGGTTAGGTTATTTGGCGAGTGTCCATGTTGGTTAGGTTATTTGGCGAGTGTCCATGATGGCTAGGTTATTTAGCGAGTGTCCGTGATGGTTAGGTTATTTGGCGAGTGTCCATGATGGTTAGGTTATTTAGCGAGTGTCCATGATGGTTAGGTTATATAGCGAGTGTCCATGTTGGTTAGGTTATTTGGCGAGTGTCCATGATGGCTAGGTTATTTAGCGAGTGTCCATGTTGGTTAGGTTATTTGGCGAGTGTCCATGATGGTTAGGTTATTTAGCGAGTGTCCATGATGGTTAGGTTATTTAGCGAGTGTCCATGTTCGTGTGTATGTTGAACTTCTTTCACACCGTATATACCGTACATCCCCTAACCCTAACCCATAACCATAACCCCTAACCATAACCCCTAACCCTAACACTAAACATAACATTGACCCTAATCCCCACCAAATCCTACCCTAACCATAACCCCTAACCGTAACCCCTAACCCTAACCCTAAACCCTGAACCTCATCCGCTAACCCTAACCTCTAACCCTAACCCCTAACCCTAAACCCTGAACCTCATCCCCTAGCCCTAACCTCTAACCCTAACCCCTAACCCTAAACTCTAACGTTAACCCTAACCCCTAACCCTAAATGACCCTAATCCTAAACCCTAACCCCTAACATTCACCCTAACCCCAAACCCCTTGCCCTAACCCCTAACCTCTTCCTCTAACCTCTTACCTTAACCCCTAACCTTCACCCAAAGCCAAACACAATTTTGTCCAAAAACGGCATAGATTAGTATGCCAATTTGCTTTTTGGCTAAAAAAGGTGTGCCGATTTTCTGTGAGTTGAAAAATGTATCGTGACATTTTTAATTTTGTACGTAATATGTAGAATATTACAGCAAACACAATGGAGGAATGCACTTGTAAAATAAAGCTATGGGAATTTGGCTCATTTTGGCCATAAACAACAGAGGTTAGTATGTCGTTTTTTTTGGGACGTGAACATTTAGTCCTAAAATGTTCCACTTTTAATCTAATACATAGCATACTAAGGGTAAATACAATGGATGAATGAACTTTTGTTAAAAAAGAAAGCTGTAAAAATTTGGCCAATATTGGCCAAAAACGGCATAGGTTAGTTTGCCGATTTGCTTCTTTTTACATGAAATGTTCATGGTGAAATATCCTACTTTTAATGCAATATTTAGCATACTAATGCTAAACAAAAGGGAGGAATTCACTTTTTCTTTGGAAAATGTACCTATGAAAATGTGGATGATTTTGGAATAAAACTGCATAGGTGCCCTAATCCTGACTACCCCAACCCTAACCCTCAGCCATAACCCTAACCCCTAAACCTAAACCCTAGCCCCTAACCCTAAAATTAACCCCTAACCCTAACCCTGAATCTCATCCCCTAGCCCTAGCCCTAACCTCTAACCCTAACCCCTAACCGATAACCCTCATCTCCTAGCCCTAACCCTAACCTTTAACCATAACCCCTAACCCTAAACTCTAACGCTAACCCTAACCCCTAACCCTAAATGACCCTAACCCTAAACCCTAACTCCTACCCCAACCTCTAACATTCACCCTAACCCCTAACCCCAACCCCCTTGCCCTAACCCCCAACCTCTTCCTCTAACCTCTTACCTTAACCCCTAACCTTCACCCAAACCCGAACACAATTTTGTCCAAAAACGGCATAGATTAGTATGCCAATTTGCTTTTTGGCTAAAAAATGTGTGCCGATTTTCTGTGAGTTGAAAAATGTATCGTGAAATTTTTAATTTTGTACGTAATATGTAGAATACTACGGCAAACACAATGGAGGAATGCACTTGTTGTTGTAAAATAAAGCTATGGGAATTTGGCTCATTTTGGCCATAAACAGCAGAGGTTAGTTTGTCGGGTTTTTTTTGGGACGTGAACATTTAATCGCAAAATTTTCCACTTTTAATCTAATACATAGCATACTAATGGTAAATACAATGGATGAATTAACTTTTTTCCAAAAATAAAGCTGTAAAAATTTGGCCAAATGTGGCCAAAAACGGCATAGGTTAGTATGCCGATTTTCTTTTTTACATGAAATGTACATGGTGAAATATCCTACTTTTAATGCAATATATAACATACTAATGCTAAACAAAAGGGAGGAATTAACTTTTGTTGAAAAAGAAAGCTGTAAAAATTTGGCCAATATTGGCCAAAAACGGCATAGGTTAGTATGCCGATTTTCTTTTTTAAATCCTTTATATTAATTTCGCTTGCTTGCGTGCTTGCGTGCTTGCTTGCTTGCTTACGACAGTGCAAATCATTCGGTCGTATTTTTAACCCACTTCCCGTGATCCAATCGAGCTGACATTTTGCACACAGACTCGTTGTGCGAGACAATTAATGTTCGTGAAAAAAATTCCCAAAATGTTACACTGTTTAGGGAAAACAAATTAAATATTTAATTACCAATTGCTTAATACTGACAGACAATCATCTGACCCATAGGTGGCAGCCATCTCAAGCCAGAGGACGAGAGGACTCTAGCCGCCACGCATATAAAGGATTTATACATGAAATGTTCATGGTGAAATATCCTACTTTTAATGCAATATATAACATACTAATGCTTAACAAAAGGGAGGAATTCACTTTTTTTTGGAAAATGTAGCTATGAAAATTTAGATGATTTTGGCATAAAACTGCATAGGTGCCCTAATCCTTAGCCCTAACCCTAACCCCTAAACCCTAGCCTCTAACCCTAAACTTAACCCCTAACCCTACCCTAAAACCATAACCATAACTCTAACCCGCACCCTAACCATAACCCTAACCCGTAACCCTAATTCTAACCCCTATGTAGGGCTGTTATGGAGGGGCTGTTTGTACATAAGATCAAACGGCGAACAAACACAGTGGGCGGAGCCCCGGGAGTAAGCGGGGGGGGTGCCCGCAACGACGTCCGCATTGGGCAGCCTGGGGGTAGGGCTGCCCGGGGTTGTGATCCTGGAGGGGGTATAAAAAGGGATGACAGAGAGAGCTCGGGGCAGTATTAGAACAAAGGAGGGAAGATTGAAGACCCGGGTAGCTAGAGCCCTGGACTCCCCTGAGACGCCGCCCTTGTCAGGGCCGCGCAGGACCGAGCCAGCGGCGTGGTCCCGTGAACCAGAGTCAGCACTCTGGGATTCCGGGTACCGTAGCCCGACTCACC